CTTCAGGCCTGCCGGGCTGACCGGTCCCGCCAGAGCTTGGGCTGGAGGGGACCGCAGGTCCCGCGCCTGCTGCCCGGTTCAGAGTGGGTTTGGCCATTGCCTCACCGAGAGAAGGAACCGCGTCCCTGTGGTGCCCGGGTCTGGCGTCCCGGGCTTGCCTCCAGCCCAGAGCAAACGCAGTTCCTTCGGCAGCTGGGGTCTGCTGCTTTGGGTGCTGCTGTGGAGTTCCAGGCCTGCTTCATTACTGGTGGTGGTGGGGAAGGCTTCCACAGCAGCCACCTCACCTTGAGATACTTCTGTTTACTTTTTGTGTCACTTTCTTTGGTCTCTTTGTACTTTATGCCAAAACTGATGAACGTATTCTAGCTGTTGCAAGTCTGGCTTGTGTGTCATGCTCCATTGATTTGTGTACCAAAATTATGGCATGGCCACTGCTCTGGAGATTCAGGCACCTGAGACTAGTTGCATCTCTTCTCCCTGTAGCTTCTTGCAGAGCAGCTAATGGAGACCTTATTTGCAAGTACTGCCAGTCGTGGTAGCAACGGAGGCTTCCCTTTCCTGTGACTGCTCTGTCCCAGTGTGCATTTCTGTGCCACTGGTCTTGCTTTTGTCAGATAACCGGGTATTTCTGTGCTTGTCATTGAGCCTGGCGTACATTTGTATAGTTTGTTGCGTGAGTGGTAATGCCTTTCATATAACCAACATGAAGGTATCGCAAAGATGCACATGTCAGGTTTGAAGTATTTGTGGGAAAGAAGTACAAGTAGGAGGCTGTGGTCGTGTAAATTTTGGGAGTGGGCTGTACACTGACCATTTCTTTTGCTGGGTGTATTTCTGTGGCATTGCTGTTCTGCAACCTTTGCGTAGTAGGGGAAGACATTATGGTGTGTGTGTGTTGGTTTTGTTTTTTTTTTTTAAAGCTCTCCAGAAAAAGACCATAAGGAATGGTGTGATGATCTGCATGAATCAGAAAAGAGAGGTAGGGAAGTGGAGAACCCCCATCTGTTCTCATGCTGTATCTTTGTGCCATATTTTGGGGTGTTCGGCAAACTGATTGTTGTATAATTACCTTGTTCTCATAGATAACTGTAGAAAAAAGTCTTCCTTCCTATGTTGTACTGGCTGTACCTAGCTGTTAGCTTAGTGCTAGACAAAATCTAACTCATTTACAGTATTAATCTGAAGGCTTTTAAATTGTAATGGTGAGATTCTTTCTTCTTTTGGGAAGAAAACTTATGTCTTGTGTAACTATCTTTGGTAAAGGAAATCCTGGAATCATAAGGTTCCTATGTATGTTGTAAATTCTCAATCACTTGGGTTGTACTTGGCACCTGGATGATGTTGTGTCAAGAACCAGTATTTTAGTGAGAGGCACTTTGTTGTCTGGTGTGGCCCAGTGCTTTCTTGTATTTTCAACTGGATGCTTGTCTGAAAACTTCGGCATTTCCTGGTCTTCATTTTGGTCTTTGACTTCTCAGTCCGAGAGCTTTGTGTCTCATGAAAGAGTTAAAGTGAAATTGAGTTTGTGGTTTGGCATTTGGCAGCTGTACTACTTAACCAGCTCCTTCTCTCCAAACTTCCTCATCATTCCTGTTGCTGCACTACCCTCTCCAATATGCTGCATTTCTATGGTCTCGGGATAACTACATCGACAATCAGTCTTGTTGAAGAAAAAACAACACTTTTATGAACAAAATGAAAGAAGTCATGTAGAGATGAGAAAGCAACTCCAAATGGATTGGAACTAATTAAATTGGTAGTTGGAAGAGCTGGGTACTGAATGTGAAGCTGTCCTGGAGCTGGAAGAACTTACTACAAGGTGGTCACTGAGGACTAGTTAGCAATACATGCATTTCTGGAATATGCTGGTATTGGGATTTTGTGTCTCTGCTCTTAACCCGATGGAATAGCCAAGGAGCAGGATAGAAAGCTGATGTAGAATTCTTACTTCATGTATTGTAGCTGCTTCAATGTCTTGCTATCAGTTCTCCCATTGCTCCAAGATTCTCAGAGAAAATAATTATGGAACAAAAGAATTAATCAGACTGTTATGAAAAGCATCTAACTATTTAAATATACAAATGCCACTTACTGGGTTTGCAACAGATGACAAGTATTTAATTTGTTTCAGTATGTAAATAAAAACATAAAATTCTTGAGACAAAAATGATAGTTACAAATATAAATTAAATTCCAGTAGAACTGCCTGACTCCCACAATGCAGCGTTTGCCAGCAAATTTACACAGCTTTTGTCTGCGGGGGATTGTTTCTATCCATGAAAAATTCTCAACACTGAGTCCTGTATCCGATAGAGCTACATTTAAATTAGCGTAGGTAGGAACACTAATATTCATCAGGTCCTGTGTTTTTCACTTACATTGATTACATCAGTTATTTAGCAGGTTTAAATTACATTGTGAAAAGTTGCAGGGGTACATTTGCCTGAAGTGCCCTCAGGCAGAAATGCCAGTCTTCTCTGGCAAGGCTTTCATTACAGAATATTTTCGTTTGGACAGCAGTTTTGTGTAGAATATGCAATTTTAAGTTTGGTAGTAAGATTACTATTTACAGGTAAAATATTTAGAACTTGTAGCTACTGGGCCATCTGTAAATTCTGAGTGTGTGGAGAGCTTTGGAAATCGAAAATTCTATCACCTGTTCAAAATTTTGATCACATTTCCTGAGGGGAGGCCTTCTGTAAAGTGATTATATTTGATCTTGCTGGATGTATATGATCGCTATTTTTGAGAATTGGGAGGGTAAACACTATACATTGATGATTATTAAATCCCCTCCCCCTCCTTCATTTAAATGTTTATTTGTTTAGGAGGCTAATACCATGTTTCCAATCCATTGCCTGTAAAGAATCCTTAAGTATGGAGGCCTTCATTCTGTACGAGGAGATTGGAAGAGGAAATAAGACAGTTGTTTATAAAGGAAGAAGAAAGGGGACAATTAATTTTGTTGCTGTTCTTTGCACTGATAAATGCAAAACAGCTGAAATAACAAACTGGGTAAGTAATGTTTTTTCCTGATAAATCTAGGAAAAGGTACGGATTACAAAATCCTTGTAGCACAGGTTATATAAAAGAAAAATACCATGTGCTTCTTTACGTGGAGTTTGTCACCATTTAGATCAGCTGCTTAAGATTTAAAATTCTTATATTTTAAGTGGAGTCTTATTTTAATGTATTTATTTCTTCATCTGATTTTATTGTTGAAATCACATGCGTAAACCCTTATTTACAGACTTGCTGTTTCTATGATGTCAGAGAACTTGTAAAAACAGTTACTTGCATGCAGTGGTTTGCTTTAGTTTGTTATTAGTAGTGCAAATCCAGTAGTATTTATACCTTCCAGTAAATAATCAATTTCTTACTTACCAAGATGCAATTATTTCTGTTTTAACATAATACTTTCTGGAAAAGAAACTGTAACTGATACAGTTAGGAATTTCAAGTATTTTATTTTTCAAGTAGGTAAATTTTGTTTCTGTGGTGTGTTAGCCTTGGGTGGATGCCAGGTGCCCACCAAACTGCTCTATCACTCCTTCTCCTCAGCTGGACAGGGGAGAGAAAATACAGTGAAAGCCTTGCTTTAAGGAGAAGGGTATCACTCACCAGCTACCATCACGGGCAAAACAGACTTAACTCAGGGGAATTAGCTTAATTTGTCACCAATCAAAATCAGAGTAGAATAATGAGAAACAAAGCCAAATCTTAAAACACCTTCCCCCCACCCCTCCCGTATTCCCGGGCTCAACTTCACTCCTGATTTTTGCTACCTCTTCACCCCCGAGCTGCGCAGGGGGATGGGAAGTGGAGGCTGTGGTCAGTTCATCACACATTCTCTGCCGCTCCTTCCTCCTCACACTCCTCCCCTGCTCCAACGTGGGGTCCCTCCCACGGGAGACAGTCCTCCACCAACTGTCCCAGTGGGGGGTCCTTCCCATAGGCTGCAGGTCTTTATTAACTGCTCCAGCGTGGGTCCCTTCCATGGGGTGCAGTCCTTCAGGAATAGGTTGCTCCAGCGTGGGTCCCCATGGGGTCACAAGCCCTGCCAGCAAACCTGCTCTGGGCGTGGGCTCCTCTCTCCGTGGGTCTGCAGGTCCTGGCATGAGCCTGCTCCAGTGTGGGCTCTCCATGGGGTCACAGCTTCAGGCATCCACCTGCTCTGGTGTGGGGTCCTCCACGGGCTGCAGGTGGAGATCTGCTCCACTGGGGACCTCCATGGACTGCAGGGTCACAGCCTGCCTGAGCATGGTCTTCTGTATGGGCAGCAGGGGAATCTCTGTTCCAGCTCCTGGAGCACCTCCTCCTCCTTCGCTGACCTTGGAGTCTGCAGAGTTGTTTCTTTTGCATATTCTCAGTCCTCTCTCCCCGTTGCTGTTGCCCAGCATTTTTTTACTATTCTTAAATATGTTATCACAGAGGCACTACCATGGTTACTGATGGGCTAGGCCTTTGCCAGTGGCGGGTCCGTCTTGGAGCCAGCTGGCACTGGCTCTATCGGACCTGGGGGAAGCTTCCAGCAGCTTCTCACAGAAGCCATCCCTGTAGCCCCCTCTGCTACCAAAACCTTGCCACACAAGCCCAATACAGTTTCATATTCCCTGTCATTGTTTCAATGATCATTTATTGGGTGATTAATGAATCTGCTTAATTTAAACATTTCGTAGCATATTCCTCTTAGAAAGCCCTCAAGGGTACCTTACATACCATTCTGACAAGATACAGAGGCTTCGGTAGAGATTAGTCCATGTAGGTGTAATAGAAACATGTATTTCCAGGGACCCTTGAATGATTGTTCTTGCTTGATAAGATTAAGCATGATGGAGAAATTTCTTTTTACTTCCTCTTACTGTATTCATCATGTTGCCTTACAGTTTTGTCCTCCCTGAAAAAGAAAGTAGGAATGCAAGTTTGATTCCAAATTCAGATTTCCAGTTAGTTACTGTTTTAGTGATGCAGGAAGGTTAAACAGAGCTTATAATTTTGGATTGGGGAACTGCCTGTATTTTTTTCTATATTTTTAAAACAGGTGAGTTGGGCGGAGTCTGTGAGGAAAGTTGTCTTTTCTCAACAGACATGTAAAACTAAAATATTTGAATTGGAGAATAATTTTAGTGCATTGGAAAAGGTAAAAGAACAAGTAGTCTAGAGCTAAAGTTGTATTGCCTCTTCCCACTTCTCCTGAAGTCCATATATATAGCGCTTTTTTTTTTTCTCCAGTTAAGTATGTTAAAAACTTTGTTCTAGGTTCGTCTGACTCATGAAATCAGACATAAGAATATAGTGACATTTCACGAATGGTTTGAAACAAGCAACCATTTCTGGCTTGTAGTGGAATTATGCACAGGTAAGATAAGCTCAAAAGGTAAAAATTTATAGAGTGAGTATTTGTAAGAGACTTCTTAACAGTTTCTCCACAACAAATACTTAGATCTTTGAAAAAGCTTAGTAATTATCTGATGATTAACTTGAGAATCCTATTCTTACACAAAAATGTTTTTGCTTTTGGAAACATTTTTAGACATCAGTTGAAATGGTATTTCTCCTCTGCTTCACTGTATGGGTATATTTAATGTGAATTGATGTGACATTATGTGGTTTTTAATAACTGAAGAGATAGGGCCAGCCAGGGGAACTGAAAAACAAATTGTGAATAGTTGGAGGGTAGTTAAGATTCCTTGAGAAAACTTTTCTCAGGACTGGTGGCTGTGGCATTCTCTTTTCATTTTATAGCAAGCTGTAATAAAGAGAACAAGGAGGAAATCGGATTATAAAGTACCAATGAATTAATATTGTTCAAATGAATTTTTTAATCAAAGGGTCATTCTGTAGCTAATAGTAAATTATTTTAGTTTTCTTCCTGTTCAGTAGAAGTATTTTGACTTGTATGTTAAGACGTTAATTTGGGAGCCCTGAGAACCCAAAACTGCATTAAATGATTCACTGAGTTTTGATAGGTTCTCATCAATCCATTAAAGAAATCTTTTAAAGCTTTCTTGAATTTTGATGACTGCATGTTTTAAACTCTAGATAGCATGCGTTACTCCACATGGAAAAAGAAGGCCAATTGTGCAAATAATGCATGCTAAGATTTTGGTATCTGGAGTTTGTTTCCTAGTAAAAGGCCGTATTATACATAGCTTTTTTTTCTGTCCTGAATTCTGTTTCAGAAATTACTGAAGAAGAGAAGCTACAAGTTCTGGAGAAAAAAATCAGATCGTTATTTCGTGCAGCACATGTCTGTGTGGCTGGTGTCATTATTTTCTTCTTTGTGTATTTGGTCATATTATGGAACTATTTTACATGTAGTCCTCTAAATTACCTTATAAAAACCAGTAATTAAACAGGATGGAAAATTCTTTACTGTAGCTATGTAATAGGGGCTTGGTTTTAAAGGAATGACTGATTTACTCAACAGCATAAAAAAGGCTTAGAAAGAAAGTAATCTTAAAATTCAGCAGTGTTGAATAATTTGAAGAATACTGTGAAGGCAGACCTTTCAGTCTTGCTATTCTCTGAAAGAAATTACTAAGCAAAGGCAAAAAAGCTCAGGAAAAGCTATTATGTGATTTGGAATAAAAGACCTAGTATCATTTTCTATGAAAATCTCTCCTAATCCCTGTTTTCATTCAGGGACTTTAATCTGTGTCCTTTTTTTTGGTTTTAGTCTGCATGATTTGGCTAAGATACAAATAATAGATAAACCAAGAAACCTGTAGACAATTCACAAAATACAAACTGTATTCTCAGGGAAATGGGTTTGGATCAAAAGAGAAAAGGGTTTGGGGAGAGATGGCAACATGGAGTTCAGGATAGGAGACTGGGACAGAAAGGAGGAGACAGACTGTTTGGGCAGGAAGCTTGTGGGAAACAAGATTAGGAGAAGTCCAAGTCCTATGAACAGTTAGGACAGGAATGGCGCAAAGAGGATGAGTCGGACGTACCTGAGAATCAGTGGGATGTGAGGAAGGCGGTGATGGGGGAAGAAGAGAGATTTTTGCAAGGACAGAGAAACAGTAACAATCAGTAGGGAAAAGCATGGAGAGTGAATGTGAAGCCTAGAGAAGGACACAGGTGATAGAGAATATGTGTGAGGGCTGTTTGAAAGGCTTTGTAGATGTAACAGAGGAAGGGTTGGTTGGATCTTGGCAGAGGAGGATAGTGGTGGTTTTGGAAGGACTGAGGGGGATCTCATGTTAGGATGACAAGTCCAGAGAGATATGAGTAGAACTTGCTGGGGCAGGAAGCTGGCATTTGTGTGAGAAACCTGGAAAGTGAAAGTTTAGTCCTGGGTGGTTTTGTGTTTTGTTTTTTAAATTCTTTTTCTCCCTATAAAGAAAAAAAGAGAGAGGAAAGGATGAAAATGAAACAACTGGGGCACACAAGTCAAGAAAAGGACTGTACAGAAATACTATGTGTGAACATGGGGACAAACTTTTTAGCAGGGACTGTTGTGGTGGGATAAGGGGTAATAGTATAAAACTAAAAGAGGGTAGATTGAGACTGGATATAAGGAAGACATTTTTTACCATGAGGGTGGTGAAACACTGGGAGAGGTTGCTGAGAGAGGTGGTAGATGCCCCATCCCTGGAAACATTGAAGATCAGGTTGGATGAGGCTCTGAGCAACTTGGTCTAGTGGAAGATGTCCCTGCTCATTGCATGGTGGGGGTGGGTGGACTAGATGACCTTTAAAGGTCCCTTCCAACCTAAAGAATTTTTTTGATTGTTCTTAGATTATTCTATGATCCTGTTGGATGTTGTTGGCCTCAGGACCTCAGAATGTAACCCAGTTTTACTATTTCTGTTGTCTGTGAATTCAATGGAAAATTGCCCGTCATTAGCTTTAGCAGTTGTTCACAGAAGTTGATAGCCTGCTCTTAGTATTGCTTATTCTTTTAACTCATGCAGCAGGGATCTGGTTAAGGAATTTGAATAAACCCATTTGGTACTATTACATTTGTGACTTCATGTCATTTCTGGGTTTCTTTTTTTCCTTCTGTTTTCTTTGTGAAATAAATCAATATTAAGTAATCATGAAGTCATGCACTTAATTAAATTGTAGTAAAAATTAAGATTTTTTTTGTCACAGTATTTTAAATAGATCATTTTTTCTGTACATCTTAGATTTTTGTAACTATTATCTAATCTCAAGAAATATTTTTAATATCTGCAGATAATGATTTTTGCTTGACATCTTTTGAAGAAGCTTATATAGTGTCCTTGGGATTATTTGATGGTATCTTCTTTATATGCACTTGTTGATGATGTATAAATATATTTCAGGTGGTTCTCTAGAATCTGTTATTGCTCAGGATGAACATCTACCTGAAGATGTAGTGAGAGAATTTGGTGTTAATTTGATTACTGGTTTATACCATATTCATAAGCTTGGAATTATCTTTTGTGAACTGACACCTGCAAAGGTAAGAAGGAGGATTATTTATAGGGGATGCTGCATGTTATGTTGTATACCCTCAGCGTTTAATTTATTATTTCTGTTTTACTACTTGGAAGAGGCTTACCTCAGGTTGGAGGCCAGCTGAGCTTTATAATAGATGTGAAGACAATGAGAGACAAGTCTATAGCCTGAATATTTTATGATCTATATGATTTTTTTTTCTTGTTGTATTTTTGATATGATGTGGTAGATTCTTTTGGATTTGGTGTACTGGTTTGAATTAATGAAGGATTTTAGTTCTCTGTCCTCGGATATGTAGCTCTGTTATTATACCTGTTCTATCATGCTGCAATATGTGTTGAAGTCATTGAAAATGCTATTGAGGGACTAAAGTTAACTGAACTTTCTTTGTTAATAACCTTCTCTGTTGTTTCCAAATGCCGTTTAAATCGTTGTCTTACTCTTGCATAAAAATACAAATCTTTACATAGTTTCTGGTTTTGTGTATATGTGTGGATTTTATGTATAGTTTTGTCAAAGTCCATGTTTGTTTTTAATTTGTGTAGTAACCAGAAGATAAATATAACCAAAAATTCTTGCTGAACAGTAATTGTTTTTGATCTTGATCTATAAGTGATCAAGTTGCCTGTCTCTGAATTTTCTGTAAATGCTTGCGAAATTATACTCAGTTTCTGTCATTTGTGGGTCCAAAGCACTAAAAAAGATATGAATAAAGCATAATGGAGATGACGCTGTATTCCTACAGAGAAGAACGTTGCTGTAAAGTACTCTGAGCACAACATAGAGTGCTAAAGTAAGACTGCCTTCCCCACCCGACCCCGTCTGACTGAAAGGGCTATTCCTCCAAACAGTTTTGCTATTATGAAAATTTTAATTATGAGAATAAGCAGTGACCACACAGAGAAAACTCTCATCGTAAATGGACAAAATATTCGGCATTTTCTGCTGAATAAAATTAGAAATATTCACTTTTTTCCTCAAATGAAACAATGTTGCTTTTTACTACGCTTTTATTTTCCTATGCAGTTTTAGTCTGCTCTTACTTTCTCTGCTGTAGTAACACAGCTGTTTATTTATATTTGATAATGAGTAAATAAAAGTGCACATTAAACCTTTTAATGGTTCTGTTGTGAGATTCTGTAATTTTTTTGATTAGAAGAAAGAAGACAGTATTGAAGTTGACTTAAACACTGAAAAGTGTTTCTTTTGTGTTATAGTGATCATCTCAAATAGTGAGAGGTTGTGATTTTTTTTTTAATAAATTATTTTATACTGTGGGAATTTCAGCAGTCATCAGTTTTAGCGTATGATACTTGTATGCTGGACTTTGTTTATTCTTCTAGATTCTGCTGGAAGGGTCTGGCACTTTGAAATTCAGTAATTTTTGCTTGGCTAAAGCGGATGGTGAAAATTTGGAAGAATTTTTTGCTTTAGTTCGATCTGAAGAAGGTGAAGATGTCAGTGAAAACACTCCACAGAGATACCTGAAAAATAGATTTCGAGGTATGATATTTTTACTAGCCAAAATGAACTTATACCAAAGGGACAGATTGAAAGTTGGAAAAAGCCTCTGTTTGAAGTAATTTGGAGAGAAGACCTTGAAATAAAATAGTTACTTTTTGTTCTGTTGCGGCTGACTAAATTTCTAGAGAAAGCGCGCAATTAATTCTGTTCTGTTATCATTTGTAAAGATTAATGGATTTGCCTGTGTCTTTGCAACAAAGCATGAACTGTACATTTTCTATAAGCAGGTTTAACATAAACAACATAAGGGGAATGTTTAAGGTAAGCTCAAAACCACAATTTAGCTCTTAAGGAAGATTGTTCAGAGAGATCATAAGTTACAGAGGTAACAATACTTGCAAGTGAGTAGAAAGAAAAGAAACTGTATTACAAGTATATGGTAATAATGCTAAGTTTCATAAAGCCAGTTTAACTACAAGCTGGAAAAAATATACTTCTGTCTGTCATAAAATGTATAACATATTAACAATTCCTGATCTTTCCTGCTTTGTAAATAGACTTTAGGTGATTTTTTTTAGATTGAAAGTCATATCTTGGTGATTATAGACTGTAGTATACTTCTATAACAAACTTTCAACATAATATAACTGAAGGTGGGTTATTTTAAATTTCTTTTTGCCGCTTGACATGAAATTCCTGCAGTACAGTTTAATGTACAAACTGTATATTCTGAACATGTTTTCATTATTGTATAAAATGTTCTTGATTTTTTCTTTGTAGGAAAAAAATAGCAGCAAAATTTCAAAAATTAAAAAAAAAAACCTGAACAAACAAACAAAACCCCCAAACTGAGTATATGAATGAGATCTGAAATGTTTCAAGGTAGCTAGTTACTTAAAAATACTAATTCTTGTTTTGGATTTGCTGAGGAGGCTGAATTGTTAATTACTATTTGATGAAAACTATAGAAGATCACTAAAACTTTGGAAGTTCAGAGTTCAAACTGGAACTGGCTTCCTAACTGATGGAATTGTATTTCTGGTATTTAGTTGATATAGGACAGTGTCTTTAAAAGGAATTTAAAAAAAAAATTAAAGGAAGTAGCAATAAGAATCACTTCTCTACAACCTTTTGTGCTCTAGTTATAAACTAGTAATTGGAGGGTGGAGAAATGACTGTTAGTGGAAGTATGATAAAGAAAAGTGATTTAAAATCAATCCTGTTTTGACTCAGAAAAATTTGAGCTATGGAATTATTTATGAACTTTTTAAAAAGTCTACGCTGCAGATGCTTTCTGTAAAGTGTAGGACTAAATTCTGTTAACTTTGTTAAATGTATGCACAAAATTCAGTACGTACTGCACAGAAGTGCTGCTACTTTCATTGTAGACATTGTGCTGCTGTACTTCCCTTGTCCTTTTGGATGCAAATGGTCCAAGTGATTTCTAGTTTGAGGTTCGACTGTTTCAGTACCGTTTACTTAAGAATGATCATTTTATTTTGAGGTATGAGAAAGTTACTGTGCTTTAGTTTCAACAGGCAGATCCATGCAAATGCAGTAGGCTGCAAATACTACGTTATTTTTTCATTGAATAAGAAAAATTCAGAAACTTAGTTTTAATCTTCCAAATCTTTTATTAGTCATCATCTCAGAGCATCTCGCAGACCTCCTCTATTTCCAAGTTAACAATGTGTCATAGCAGTTACTGTTATCAGGAACAATGGGATCCTTGGCAATATTTTATGGGAACAAAGAGCGCTTTCTTAATACTTTGCTGTCTCCTGCTAAAAAAGAAAGTCCACCTGGAAATACAAAGACCAAGAACAGATCTTTATTCAGGAAGAAATACAAATCTAATATCTATCTTGTTACCTTTCAGAACAGCTGTTTTGATGTGTATGATTATAATAACCTTTTATCACTTTAAAAAGTTTATTTTGAACTCTTTTTTTATTTTTTTAAGGACTATGAAATTGACACTTTTGCTGAATTTGTGTAATTTTTTTAGAGATTTTTGAGAAGTGTTTTGATGGTTACTACTGTAGGAATGGGAACTGTATTTTTCTATATCAAGACAAAAGGGGTTTGAATAAGCTGCTGTAATTTGATGTGTGATGTTTTCATAGTGTTTTAGAGTGAAAATAGCTATAACTACTTTAGATCAGTGATCCAGCTGGCTAGCTACCTTGTTTTTGTAACAGATTTTTCTGATTTCATGAAGGCTTATGTCTTGGAATAGCTTTTTTAAAAAAAAAAACCACACAAACAACAACTCCCCCCAAAAAACCACCTCAAACTTGATGTAGCATAATTATTTCTGTTACTCACATGAGAATTATGTTGGTTTGCCATTATACTCAATTTGCTTGGGTCTGGAAGCTGTCAAGGCATATCAAAACATTCTTTGCGTTAATCACTGTGTTACATTTGGTATCTCAGTTTGCTTATATTAAGTGAGGATAATCCCTAACTCACTGAAGTGTGGAGACAAAGTTAGAAGTGTTGAACAGGATAAATGCTGAATGAATAATCAAAGTGTGTTATACGTAATGTATTTTCTAGGCTCTCCATTATACACAGCTCCAGAAGTAATAAAGGGAGAAGACTTCTCCAAAGCCAGTGATCTGTGGTCCTTGGGATGTTTACTTTATGAAATGTTCTCAGGTTGTAAATTTGTGCATATATTTAATATCTGTGATAATGGAAATGTAGGTCGTGGTCCCCGAGTAAAGCCTTGTTAACTTCCTAGGGAAATTAAGACATAGAAAAACCTGAGATGGGTTTTAAAGGGTTCTTGAAGAACAGAAAAACTGTACTTCAAAAAAAAAAAAAAAAGTCTTTGTCAAATAACCAAGTAGTGTAGTACTGTGAAGTTGTCCTTTTAATTGTGATCTAAATATTATGGTAGTAACCAGCATGTATTGTTTAAATACTACGATTCAAAATTGTAGCAGTCCTCAAATTCTGACAGTGGTTTTAATCTCCTCAGTGTTAAACTCTGGGTGCGTTGTTTTGACCTTTGAAAGCAAAAACTTTCACTAGGGTAAAACTAGAGTCATTGGGCTCCCTGCAGATGAAGTACTTGTTAGCACTGACTGCAGCTGGCAGGAGAATTTCATCACAAAAGAGAATTCCAGTGCAGCCTTCTGAAGTCTTAAGCAATATGCTGATCTGTTGGATCAACATAGTCACATAGATATTGAGATTTCTGCCTAGACTTTCTACTGTTCTTATCTCATTGCTGATTCATACAGAGTTATCATGGGGCTGTCATCGTGACCTCCATAAAGCCATCTTTGGTGCCTCTTCTGTCCATGGTTTCTTTTGCTGTTCATGGTAGAAGAATTTAATCCAAGGTTTTGTATTTAAATTGACAAGAGAACTTGATAAATAGAATTCAGGCTGAGGGTGTTTATTTCTTTGGATGTTTCCTTAGGAAAATGAGCTGTTCATATCATTGCACCTGACAGCCATTTTGAAGTTTGCCTAATCTGTGAAATACACTTGTGTTTGTTTGTAGGAAGACCACCATTCTTCTCAGACAGAATTTCTGAATTAATTGAAAAGATTTTGTATGAAGATCCATTGCCACCTAGACCAGAGGGTAACATTCTGTTATTGTTTAATGAATCAAATCGGAGTAATACTTAAAAAGTGAAAGTTTTGTTTGGCACTATTTCTTCTTCGATAAGGTGCATTTCATACTTTTGAACTCTCAGAAGTAGTCTTTCTCAGTTAAATTATAATTTTGGAAACCTCTTTTGTATAAGGGGGTGCAACAATGGTCCTCTTCAAGTTATTGTGGTTGGGGGAAATCCAAGTTCAACTTAAGCAGATTTAAACTCCATTTTATTTCTTGCTAATACCTATATGATAATTGGAGGATGCTTTCTCCAATGTATGAACAATTTTAATTAGTTTAGTGACTGAGCATTGGTAGTTTGTTTGCTTTTTGGATTTGGGTTTTGGTTTTTTTGAGGATCCTTTGAAATGCAAAGAGTGTATATTTAAGACTTGTCATACATTCAGGTTTTTCAGATGAAATTACTATTAAAGAGAACTCTTTAGCATTATCTTTAGGTAATGATTTGACCTACATTGTGTGACGGTTGTTTTTGCTGCCCAGTACTTAACTTCTCAAGTGCTTCTATTTATAGGTTCTGCTTTTCAGGAACCTTCTGCTGAGTTTGTTAGTTTGCTTGATGGGTTGCTTCAAAAGGATCCTCAGAAAAGGTAAACTTTCTAATCCATGATAGTTGTTTACATCATGTTGTTTCACCTGTGGAGAAAACAATTGCTATGGTACTGTATAAATAGTATTTTGTACATGACAAAGAATGAAAAAATCATTTCATCCCTCATATAAAAGACAAAGTGTGCTTTTTCTCATATGAACATACACAGAATTAATGTTTTGATTAAGTATATCTTTGTATTTTTGTGGCTGGTGCTAAATAGATAGCTTCATAAGAGAAGTGATGGGCAGTTTGAAAATTGGATGGCTTTGCTTTTCTAGTGCAATGGACACATCTATTTTATGAGGCTTTGATTTATAGCTGATATAGTTATATTGTTCAGTAACGTAAGATTATTCTTATAGAGTAACTCAGATAATTTACATGTTGGGAGAGGCTATACAGTTTCCTTCATTCTTAGTCTCGTACCTCAGAGTCACGTGAATTATGCATTCTGTTCTGAGGCAAAAAGTTTGTCCTGTAAAAACCTTATTTGTTGACTAAATTAAAGCAAACAACAGGATTAATTTCTGTGTGGTGTCACTGACTTCAAAACCTAGTCTGGTATCTCTCTATGCAGCTATACTTTGCCACTGCTTTTTCAGTTTGTTTGTTGCTTTTCAAAAGGCTGAATTGGACAGACCTACTACAGCATCCGTTCTGGAAAGGATCCCTTAGCCATTGTGGTGATGGTTCTGCAGACAGCAAGGCCACAAGCTCAAGGTACTGAGTGTTCAAGGAAGACTTGTTTTATATTAAATATAAGCAAAAATATTTTTATAGTTTTCTGTAAATTTTCTCATTTTTTTAATTTTGCTTAGGATTTTCATGTTGTTAACTAATTGATGAACGGAGTTTTACACCATTCGGCGAATGGTTTTGGATGCTTAGAAATTATATTATCCTATTAGTGTATTACACTGTCTGTTCACTTTCAACAGACTCCTTTCTCCTGGCTATAGAATGTGTTAAAATTTACTTCTGAACTAAATGGTCTCATTTTTTAAAATTTATATATATAACAATGATGCACAGTAATTTGAATTTTCATTTTTTTGAAAGCTTTTGTAGAATCTTATATATATGGGTAAATTTTATCTTTAATGAGATTTTTTGTTTGGTTTTATGCATTAGGCTTAGAGCATCACAGAATCTGTCAGCACAGCATCTTAGATTTTTGATTCAGCCTTATATCCTTGCAAATGCAGCTGACCCATATTCTTTGCTTGTGACATAAAGCATTAATCTAATGGTGTTTTTCTGAATCTGTAATACTCTACACTGCTATGGATGTGGAAAAGCCCAAACCTTTTGTGAAAATAGGTTCTGTATATTAAAAAGTGAAGTTTGTTCAAAACTCTGGTTACTTTGCTGTTTTTTTAAATTTTTGAATTAGGATATCTAGTGTTGATTTTTATGTTCTTTTCTTCCAAATATTTGAAAGATACTTTAGGTTCCATTCTAGGGAACTAATGTGAAAAGAGTTTTCTGTTAGAATGCTGAAAGTTTTTGTGTTCTATTTTTAAATTCTTCTTGTGTTTAATATGTGTTTCTGATACCAGTGCTGCAGTATTTGTTGTTATTAATATTTATTCTAGTTTGAGATACAGCTCTTTCTTTTAATTTTATTACTGCTTTCACCACCAAGGCAGATTAGAAATCAAGATTTAAGTTTGTACCACAAAGTAAGAATTTATTCAAGATTTTAGCTAGACTTACATCAACCTCCACCACAGTGCTCATCTTTGCGGAATTTTCAGACAATCAGAAGAATTTTAATCTTCTACAAAATATTGGTCTATTTGACCTTAGTCTTGAGGGTTTTCTAATGCCTCTGAAATATCCGCTGAGGTATGCACTAATTGACAAATATGGCAAATGTAGGACACTGACTTGCCATGGAAAGGAAGCTCAATATGGAGCTTCCAGAAGCTCCAGAAGAAGCTTCCATCTGAACAGGAGGAAGAACTTACTCTGAGGGTGACAGGTGACAGAGCGTTGGAAGAGGCTGCCCAGAGGGGTTGTGGAGTCTCCTTCTCTGGAGGTATTCAAAACCCACCTGGACGCCATCCTGTGCAGCCTGCTCTAGGTGACCCTGCTTCAGCAGCAGGGGGGTTGGACTAGATGATCTCCAGAGGTCCCTTCCAACCCCTAACATTCTGCGATTCTGTGTGATTCTGTAATACTTTTCCAACTGTGAAGCCCATGTATCTATTTTCTTCACAATGTGGGTTTAATTAATATTTTATGTCCTCGAGAGAGCTTTCAGGAAGGTTATATGACCCAATTCCATGCGAATAATCAAGGGGTATATTAAAAAAACCCAAACAACCAAAATCAATAAAGTTGCAATTAAGTGTGGCATGTAAATCATTACATAAAGAAATGGTAGTTTTTGTTCATCTTAATGTAGACCACAGACTTCAGCATTTGAAGTAGGTTTGTTGTGACTTTTTCCTGTGAAGATTGAATGGTCTCTAAAGCTTTTGGTATTTCTTTATAGCTCTGGTATTATGGGGTAATAATTTAACTTTGCTAATATCTTTCATGCATTTTCTACTGAGGGAACTAGACATATTTTTAATAATTTTAATAGACATATTTTTAATATTCTCCAAGTCATTTGCTGTAAACTTATTTTTCATCGTTGCTATACTAATATAAAAAGTATATGTAACATATTACAATAGTATGCTGTTCTAGAAATGACAGCTAAATTGTATGCTAATAATTGCAACAAATAGTGGATATGATCACTTTTTTTTAAAATCTGTGTAATGAATATGTTTTATTAAATAGCAGTGAAGAAACAGAGTCATCAGTGTCTTGGAGTGCCAAAGAGCCAGTGGATACTTCTAAAAATCTAGATAGCCTGTCATCCCCAAAAGCAAATAATAAGCTACCAAGCAATCCTTTCAAAATAGGTAATATTATTCATTACATTGTTTTGAATTGTTTTGTCATGTGAATTTTGTCAGTCTTACCAATGTGCTTATTCTGTATGTTTATTTGTTTTTAACTTCTGAATACAAGTTCATGTTCTCTTTTCAGTAGAAACTCAGACTGAGTTGTGCCCAAAAAGTGCAGTTAATGGCAAATCAAATGAATCCATATTTCTTCTCAGGTATGAAAACATAAAGAACAATTAGAAAACCCCTGAAGCCTTGTGTATTTTTAGCTTTGTTTTTTTTTCCCTGTCTCTTCAGACATTTTATTATTCTGTTTGTAGCATTTTGTTAGTGTGTTTCCTTTTGAGTTTTCTGTCACCAGTTTAATATTAAGACACCTTTGAAGAGCTGTGAAAGCAGTGTATGTAGTTAAAGCAATGCCTTTGTGGCTTTATTACACTGGTTTTTGGAAGCAGACTTTCAATTTCTTAGCTGTCTGTCTAAACAGAAGAGTTTATTTAGAACTTTCTTTCCTTTTTACTTCACATATATGAGAATATGATGTTAATAAGCTTACTTTAAATACACAACAATAAATGTTCATCTTAAGATCCACTAATAAATTCTGCCTGCAGCTTTTCATCACAAGCTATTGGTAACAATCTACTAACTGCTACATCGGTATTGAATAAAAAATAGTGATTAGTTTAACAGTGATTTGTTTTTTTTGGGGCCTGATTCTGAAACTTTGTACTAGATTTCAAGCCAAGAAGATAATTGAGTAAAATAGATACTATTCATATCAAGCAGAAATATTCCAGTTTGAAATTAAATACTTCTCAAGCTTATTGCATAACCTGAAATAGGGCTTTTGTATGTTATGGTGTGTCTACTTTTCCAGTTATCTCAGTTGGTTCTAATAAAGTATTAATTCTCATAACTTCTGTCGTCACAGCTAAACCTGTGCTATTAGTAATTTAAAATAGAATTTGCTATTTGCTTTAGCAATCTGCTGAAAAGAAAGGCTGCAATGGCATTGTAATCCAAATCATCGAAAATGAGAACAGGAAAAAAGTGTATTTTTAACAACAACAGACTTTATTTGTGACAGGTACACTTATTTTAATATGAAATTTGAAATGTAATACAATTCTAAAAAATTCTTTTCTGAAATTCTTTTTGCTGGAGTGATTTAACTTCTCAAAGCAGCACATGTTTTAAAACTTTAGTAGATAACATTGAAGTGAAAGGAAGCTGCTGACCTGGCACTTGGCACCAGGATTTACTTACCTGCTGGAGTGGTTAATCAGCTTTTAACAGCACTAGCTTCTTCCACATGTGCAAAGAGAATAGATGGCATTCATTTCAGCTAGTTCATTTCAATGATCACTTGTCTTGTTTTAAAATGAGAAACCGGCTGAGAACTGGAAAAGCAGGAAAGATTTTCTGTATCTCAAATACATATGAAAACAAATTAGGTTTGGAAAAAAAATGTATTTAACAAATCTACACGTTTTGAAGCATGTGGGAACTTCGAATAATTTGTTCAGCCTTCTGGATAGAAATCGTACTTCTTTTGGTTTAGGAAATAAGACTGCTTAAGCTTCCAAGCAGATCTTGATATATTTTTTTTACCATAAGAATCAGGGTATTTTATGTAGTTTTATCTAGCTAGTAGATAATATTTTGGCACTCCTTCATTATGCCATTTAAATTTAAATTTCTTTTGAAAATGGATAAAAGATGCGTTTTTAACAAAATGAGGAGAAGAATGAAAACAGCTATGTTAGTCATTTGATCATGGATTTTCATGAGTATCTTTAGTTTTGGTGTTCGTATTTTTGATTTAGTTGATTTTTCTAATAAAGAGAACTTATTTGCAACTAAATGTGTGTATTACTTTCTGCTAATCAAGAAAACACATTCATTTGATGTTGTTGATTAAATTAGTTTCCTGGTCTGCCAATTTCAATAACTCTAAAGTTGGTTTTAAATGCTTTAATGTCTACTACAAAACACAAGTTCACTAGCAGCTTTATGAAAATTGCGAATTTGCAGTGTTCTGGTCGCTTTTCATTTTCTAATTAGCGGACATGATTTTTAATAATAAAAACTGAGACATAAACCCAGTTCACATCCATACACAATAATTAGGCAGTTTTTAATTGTCATTATCTAGCCAAGAATTGGCAGTCAGAAGAGAAGTACATAAAATAAATTGCAGTTTTTTTCTCAAGTTAATTCCCTCTATGTTGTTTGTTATTAGGAATTCAGATAATCATGTTTTAGCATCCAGTTTGGAGAGAGACTATGGGTGAGAAAATAATGAAATAATTACATTCATTTAACAACAACAAAAGAAACCACCCAGTCTTTCCTATTTCTGACAAACAAATCCTAACCTTGTCAGGACATATGTAAAGACAGGAAGTTCGTGTTTAGCTGGTGGATCATTTATATTTATCAGCTTTGAAAGTTTACTGTATGACATGAAAGTTTCAAAAGAGCAACAAAAAAGTGGTTTTCAGTGAAACTTAATCTGAAGTCTTAGTTTGTTTTCTTTCTTCTTTTGTTGAAGTTCTCGTCCCACACCTAGAACTAGCACTGCAGTAGAAGTAAATGATACTACTACTGCCCCAATCCAAAATTCTCCACAAAGAGATTCATGCTTGAAAAAGGTGAGTAGAAAAATAATGTTAAGGGATACTGGTATTTTAATAAAATTTTAGCCAGGAGTCTGTAGCAAAGTCAACTTTCTTCTCCTTCCATAAGTGTAACAGGAAAGCAGTTCCTACAGTGTGCGAGTTATTTAATAAAAAGTATTTGCAGGACTTCAGATGTAAGAGTTAAAGATGCTTAGTCTCCTTTTTCCAGTGTATGAAAGGGATAATGCTATCTTCTTTCTTTTCAGTCTACTTTTTGGATCCAGTGCTTTTTCTTCCAATATATTTCTTTTTGATAATTTTTAGTTGCTTCTATCTGCTACTACTGAAATAAAAAGTAATTTAGAATATGATGTTTACATGGACAAGCTTTGTGTTGTAACGTTGAAATGAAATATTTTGGGAATAAACCTAAACTTTCTGGTTTTGTGCAAAGCAGGTTTTTTAAAAACTTTGTTCTTGTTCTAGGTTAAAAATATGTGCTCAAGTCAGCAGGATATGGAGTCAACAATGAAAGAGCTCATTTACGCTGAATCTGATCTTATCATAACACCGATCATTGACAATCCAAAGGTATAGCAAAATAAAGTATAAGATTCAGGAACTTGTGGGTGAGGCTATTTTTGCAGATAAATCTTTAATCAGGGTGAAACTCCTTTCCTGTATTTTATAATTCTCATTTTAAAGCACTTCCACCCAGTCATCTGGCAAGCTCTTATGCAATTTTTTTGACAGTCTCTTATAATCGTATTGTGTTGCTAATTTGGAGAACTGAGTTATTTTGGGATTGAATACTAATATTAAGTAATGTCTTACAAGAAATAGAAGCTACTAAATGCTGTGTTAAGTGCTTTTGTAGATTTGTCTTCTGATAACTTGCTTTGATACCTGTTACTTAAATGAACACAAAACTATGTTTTGGTGTACACAAAACAAGGCTATCTATGACACCTTCTAAATTAGGAGCTAGACCTTTACAGAAAAAAACTTTTGTTACTCTTTAAAATTTAGATGTGATAATGAGAAATATTAATTTCTAATAACTATGACCTTATTTTCCCTGGAAAAGATGACCTGTAGTTACAAGAATGTCCATTCAGTTTCTGTCATATGGATTCTGATGTGATAAACACTTTGTGAGGAGTCTCTTGAGCCACAGACTGGCACTTGCTTGGCAACAAAGGGAAGACCAAAAATAATCGGAACTCTGCACTGCAATAACAAGATTATGTGCATGTATGGGTACATGTGTAGCATTGGTAGAAGGAATGATGGGCAAGAGGCCCTTTAGTCTTCCTTTTATTTCTGTGCAAAACAATGAAGTAATTCTAGCAACTTTAGTCAGTGAGTGGTAGATGCAGGGAATACAACATTTTTCATTGGTAGTGAGCATCTAGCTCGTTAAGAATGCCTTGCAGCTTTTAGTTGCTGTGTTGCTTTAGTATAACAATTTTTTATTTTGTTTTAATGGAATTCCTAACACTCCCAAAATTTAAAAATCTTACACAGCTAGATAAAGTAACTACCCAATAATACTGTTTTAGTGTGGTTGGGGACACTGTTGCCAGTGGAGAATTTCAAAGGTAGTTATGCATTTGAATGCCACCTCTGTAAATTCTCGGTTCTGTCTCAGGACTTTGACACAAAGCCTTAGTCCTTCACTGTTTCTCTTCTCACTACAAGTATAAGAGATGAGATTAGGGGGTAAGTGTATGTACTGATATGCATATAGACACTAATCTCCTTACCATGCAATGCCAGACTCAGAATTAATGCAAAATAGCCCACTAAATTCCAGGGACATGTAATCGGAGTCATTGCATACTTGGCAATCTTCAGACTAAAGGATGATACTGACACTTGGTAAAGCTGAAGAGCTTGCAATTTAATCTCCTGGAAAGGGATTTACCAGATGCTGGTAGAATTTTAAAAGCTGAAATGTCAGTTTATATTGTAAAATTTCCCTGTGTTCTGCAGATCTGTGGAATTGAAAACACTTTTTAGAAAATAGCTCTCTAGTTACACCTAGCCTTCATCTTTTAAAGGCTAAATTCCAGTATACAGTTACCTTTCTTTGTATACTTCAGTTACTGAAAATCACACTCAATTGCTCAATCACTGAGCAGTCATCCAATTTCACGATGTACCAGAAAATGAGGTGTTGAGGGAGGTTGGGGGGGGGGGAAAGAAAGAAAACCCATAGCTTACAAATGATTAGTTGGTGATAATATGAATTTTTTATGTTCTAGGATGATTTAGTGTATATATACATATTTACTGTATGGCAATGAATTACTAAAACATTTCATGAGCTCTCAGCTGCATAGTTCTTTTCTGTAGCTCTTGAAACCCAAATGCAATTTTTCCACATACAAGCAGGATAAAAATGTAAACTGAAAATATCCTATAATTTTGTATTCCCATTGAAAAAAAAATCACTTGAATGGAAATACTAACAATTTAATTATATTAAAAAGATAGAGTTAAATCTCAAATATCTGCTTGGAAGTAATACATACCAGAAAACTATGGGAAATGCCTCAGTAATGAGCAGTGGTTTGTACACCCATCCTGCACAATTTTTGCATCTTTGTGTTTTCATGCTCAGCTACTTATGATGTGCGGAAAGCAGACTCCACAGTCTGTAAGATTGTAAAGTAGGTATGTTTATTTGGCGCTGGGCGACACGGGGGGTAGTCCCACTGAAGTCGTGTGCGCCGAGCAGCAACGTGTCTCTTCAATTTATACAATCAAATATTACATATACATTAGATTTCCCAATACTCCTATACATATGCATCTATCCTCATTGCATATCAAAATCAGTTCTGAGAAATTTCCATAGTCTCCTCCCAGCTGCGCTTGCGCAGTGCCTCCTAGTGGTGGTCGTTGGGGGTCCCAAGATGAAGGCCCATCCTCTTCATCACAGTGTCCGCTGATTGACCTCTGTTTCTGTGCAAACTCAGTTCTCCCCTGGCTCCCATCCATACAGCAGGGTCGGTCTTGACCGGTTCTAGGCGACTCCCAGCCCCTATCAGGATCTAACCCCTTTGTATGGAGATGCAAGACTCTGCTTCAGTTAGTTTAGACAATAGATAGGCACTATCAATTCTCTTTCAACAGACTGCAACTATTAGATAATGCTATGTCTACTAAAATCCCTTTTAACCCCTTCCTTCAGTCCCCTCTTTTCAAAGAAGTTAGTAAATTCTTTTACTACTCTTACTTCTATTATAATACATCATTATTCAGCATCTTCTCAAAATACTTATTGGACTCCAGCCTTTGTCATAATTGATTCTTTTTCAATTCACTATAAGAATGACCCGTACTCCTGCAACACCAAAGGCTACACCTAATCAAAATACACAAAAAGCTACCTAGCATTATGATCAAAACTATTGTAACAAATAATTGCCTCAGCCATCCTAAATTAGGTAACCAAGAGGTGAGTTTTTCCCATACTTCCGAGAAACCCCAGGATGTATCATCTTAGGCAACTTGATGTAACACCTTGGTCTTTTCCCAGATTTTATTCAAATCTGTTTCTATTCTTGTATTCTGGTTTACATAGGTGCAACAGGTTTGATTAATAACCATGCACAATCCTCCTTCCTTAGCTAAAATCCCATTCGATTTTGCTTTACCACCTTGCTTAAAGATTCTACTTCTAATTGTATTCCTGGTATGGCATCCAATGTTAAATTTTCCGGAGTTTCGACAGTAGCCGATATATTAACTATAGCTTTCTCTAACTCGCTTACTCCCAAAGAGGGGATTAACCATCGTACAAAGCTATGAAAGCCAGTACCTCGAATTACCAATGGATTCTCCGCTCTCTTAAAACGAATCCAGGGGGTTCTTAAAAGTCCCGTAAGAGGGGAGGTACCTTCGTGAATGCTTGCTCCAGGTGTAAGGTACCCTCTCGTACAATGTCCTTTCCAGCTTAAAGGTAAGCTCTTTCTAGCCTTTCCGTCACCACAAAGCCACCAATATCCAGGTCCCATGTTACATCTTGGACCCTTGTTCTGTTCTCTAGCATCTTCCCTACCTTTTTCCTTTTTTGGTGTTTGAATGAGGTATAAACTTGAAGTCAAGTTTAATCCTATCTGTTTCAATCTTTCCGCATCAAAAGTCCCTAAATCTTTGGCAGTAGGACAATCTTTCATATCTATCCATATTTTCAAATCCTAAACAACGACCCAAAATCATTACCTTTTCCGAGAGGGGGAGGTCTAGGTCAAAACTTGGTCCTTCTCTTGTATTCACCTTTCCATACACACATGATCCATTCATGTTCATTCCGTTAGAGTAAATGGTCCAATTTTTAGTCGGTATTCCTATTAAAGGGAGTTCTAGCCCATATCCAACAATCAGATAAGTTCAATATTCTTGATGTATTTTCAGTTATTTGTAAATAGCTGTTTTGGCTTCAGGTTTCCCCTCTAGGTAACGTCCATCCTAAAAATACAATTTTTATCAATGCCTTGATACTTTGAGCTTCAAGAGTCCAATTTCTCGCGATGCCCATGGCTGTTTAGGTGCCCTTTTTACTCTGGTGTGATGAATCCAGGCGTTCTGTTCCTTGATCCTGATGGCCGTGAAGGAGGTGAGCAGTACTTGATATGGTCCTTCCCACTGTGGCTCTAAAGTTTTTTCTGCAAGAGACTTTACATACACATAATCTCCAGGTATAGATACACCCTGGAGATTATGTATATTATGTACAGGTCCATCTAGAACCCTCCCCTGGGTTCCAACCACATGTTTC